GTTTTTCGAGCGAAAGAATCCTAATTTATCCGAAGAACGTCTTAAAATGCTAATAAATCGAGTCGTATTTCAGAAACAGCGAAAACTAAGTTTTATTGCTTGTGGAATCTTCGATATAACATAATGAAATGTCAAGATGGGCTTTTTTGGCAAAACCAATGATTCACTTTTCCCAATACTAGTAGTAGGTACATGAAAAATGGACAAACTTCTGTCTTTCCTTTAAAACAGACTTTGCCTTCATCTCTTGACAAAGTATTTGCTTTATTCTTATCCGTATGATCGCGTATTCTTTGACGAATACGACTTAAATTTTTCCTAGCAAAGATTTTGTGGTCAAACGAAAATATTCTCAAATTTTCGATCGATATTTTATTTTCGGTTTCCTCTTAGGTATATCTAACTGATGCTAAAATATGGATACAGCAAAGTAATATATCAATAGTGTCGTGACTATTTCTAAGTATCTATATCTCACATGAATAATTTTTAATATCACTCGCGTTAGATTAGCAAAATGTTAACAAATAACATCGCACTTCGTTTGACAAACGGAAAGAACGATGATCGAAGTATCTAAAAATTTAGTTATAGGTCTGAAAATAATTTTATTTGGATCACCAAAATATAAGACTCTCAAAATTCATTGCTATAATGTTAATTGCAATTTTTGCAACTGCATCGTTTAAGTTCTACGTAATTATTGTAATGTTCCAATAAAATTATTTTTAAGTCGGTATTTAGTTAAATTTTTAGATACTTCAGCAAAATAGTTTTTTTCCCTGAATGAGTATAAAAAGTATTTAAGTTTTGCTGGGAAACTAATTTAACTCTTATTAGCACTGATACAAATAACGTCGCTGATACATGCAGAAATGTTAAGAATTGATGTGAAATGGAATCATCGCCAATAGAGCGAGGAGAGATTCGTGATATCTATTGTATCAGAATAGATTAATTTTGAATTATCGTCCCGATTTATGCACATTGCGAACTATTCGAATAGAATTTTAGCGATTTGATTAGCACTCGACGGAGTTAGCCAAAAATTTTCCACGTGAGTCAAATTCACTCACGCTCGAAGACGATGTACTTTTTGCCAGGAGTACGTTGACAAGAGTAGGAAGGGTTGACGAGACAGAAAAATGTCTGGAAATGTTCTCTTTCCATGCGAGCTGAACATTTACGACTTCATAACTTTTTAGGAAGCACGAAGTTTTTCTCGTCAAGTGCGTTGCACGTGTAGAGAATTTTCTAAGGGTACATCCATGAAGAGGAACAACCCTGTTTTCACGCGACTTGAATACTTTCACTGTCTTCAGTGTGAATACGTGTCATAAAGGCAGTTTTTACACTGATTCAGCTAAAATGTATAAGCCGAATATATTCCGAATTATTGAAAACCAAGCAAAAAAAGAGTATTACTTTTTCTCGGTCAAAAAAAATTTCTCATATCATGTACAGTTTGAGAATTAAATATATATGTAGTATATATTTGACACGTTATAGATACACATCTATCGACTTGAGAAAAGATTGCATTGTGGATTGCGCCAGCAATTCTATTACCTAACTTCATAATGTAAAAAAATTGACAAGGTATCGACAAAGAATATCGTTGCGCGTAAACAATTCACGCGCAGAAGAGGGCATTGCTTTTAAATTTCTTATGCGAGAGGGCAAAAGTTTCCGCGAACTCGACGCTGTAAAATGCCCGGCTTTGCTTTTCATAGGTATCAGAATTCCCTGGATTCCTCTATCTATAGCGATTGTAAAATTTAGTGCGTTTTCGGGAACTTTGGATATAAAGTCGGAAATTTTACAACGCGGCTTAGGTTTTCGACGAATTTCCTTGTGAAATTTTATTTCACGCGAGTTATCGCTTGAATTATTATCACGAAACTTTTTCGTCGGCCAATACGCGATTTTTTTATGAACTCCCTGAGATATAAATCGAGAGAATAGAAAATTTTAAAACGTTTCACTGAAAATCCCTCACCGCAAAAGTTTCAGAAAGGTTTTTGCCTACAATTTTAATGACTCGTTATTATTGTATGCTTAGAAAATATGAGAATAAAATAAACAAGAAAGGTGCAAAATTTTTTATATTTTAAATCTTTGACGAACTTACTTATTTTTATGTATGTCTAATTATATTGATGTTATGTATAATTTTTTCTGTATCTCATATTTCTTACTTCTTTGTTGCCACACTTTTTTGCTACTTTATCATATCGGATTTATCATATTGTGAGATTTACTAATTTTCTGTTATTAACTAAATATCAATATGTGAAATTATCTAGTATACATAATATTATAGTTTTGATGTTTTGAATATATAAAAAAATTAAAATATTAATTATATATTTGTCTTAATCATTATTTGTATATTACATTTTTTGCATTATAAAAAGGTAGCGTTTGCAAAATGCACCTCAATTTTTTCGCTTGGGTCAATTCGATTCATGTGTGGCAAATTATAGTAAAGATTTAAGTAACAAGATGTTATTAAATTAGATTTATAATAATAATCTTTTTTATTAAACATAAAGATTTAGTTAGTATTACAAATTAACAGAGTACATAATTATATAATTCATTTAATTTATTTTAACTATTTGCGTATCAATATTTGATCAGAAAATTATGCGACGATATTATCATGATATTATCATGTAATATTTTTTTTTTCTCAATGAGATTTTTTCTCGGCTTGTATTGAATTAACTCTAACGCAGTTTCGTTTAGGAGCAGATATGGAAGCTGAGCTGGAAAAATGTGATAATAACTCTTATCCTTCGTCTATTTGAGATTTACGATCAGCAATTACGAACAAGTATATAAATACGTTTCCTGGTGATAATTCGATAATACGGCGTTCGTTGTTTCTTCGTTTTCGCTTTCGCGCTTTGTACGAGAGAGAGTTCTTAGGTAATAAACTACGAATAAACGGCGGATATACCCGTAGGACTCTTAGTTTGCTATATAATCGCGTGAGAGCAAAATAACGACTTTCATTCAACACGGAGCTTTAAGGATCTAATAACGCGATGTAATAAGTATGAAAAGAATATATGTACACAACGAAATCTTCAGCGCGAGAATATGTGGAACAAAATTATAACGAAGACTTTATCCCATGAGTTATCAGCATAGCATATAATAGCATATAATAGCAATATCAAATATATTTAACAAAAGAAATTGGAAAAAATAAGGACAATAGGAGTCAGGCGCAGAAGACGTCGCGCAAATAATACACTCAGAATAAAGCGTAAAATTTCTTTATTCTATTAAATGCGTTTACATGTTTCAGTTCACTTTTGAGCCTTCTTCAGAGACAACACAAACTAACATATATAAACTGTGAATAAAAGTTATCTTGTCATGGTGAGCTCCCCTACATCGAGAATACAAGGTAGTATAAATGCCAGAAATTAAACCCAAATAAGAATGAAAGAAAAAGAAAAAAGAAATATTGGAAATATCGAAATAGAGAATATGGAAAACTATTATAATTTATCAAAAAACTTTAAGATTATAATTAATTATCTCGACGCTCACCATGATCACAAAGCACCATATCGCAAACATTACTATTAATAATTCAAAAACCGGTTCTTGAAATGTTGGCCAGTCAGTATCAGACACAGTGAATCACTTTTAGATTTAGCTAGTATTTTTCGAGATTACAAAATCTAACATTAAAACGTTAATCCAAGAAAATGAAAGTTGGAAAGTAATAAAAAATCACGCCAGAAAGACTCATTACTCTGTACGAGCGACACTGATTGACCAGGCGCGACAACAATTCGACCTTTTATAGCTCTATAATTGGGAGGTAGGCCTTGAGAAGTCCCTTCATATCCATCTGCAAGTTGAGTCAGTGCGTCTGTCTCCTGATGAATATCATCTCCGAAATCAATCTCTTCCTGTAGTGTGGTTCTTCGTCCAATATTGTAACGTTGTCCCAATCAAAAGAGACAATCCTGCTTGTGTATCTTCGGAAGTAGGCCCCGGAAGTATTCCATCATTACATAACAAACTTCTATATGTGGAATTAGATATATACTTTTCTTCCTTCCAACTAACTAATAAAGCGCGTAAGCGTTACAATTCTCCTCGTCGGATCCATTTTAATGATTTCATAAGTATTCTCATCCTGAAGCATCTCATTTACCTTGGAAATATACACTTGTCTATTCAATGCTACCGTCACACTACCCTTATCCGCACTAGTAAAAATAACCCTGTCATTCAGATCCCTTAAAAAAATCCTAGTGTCTTTCGCTAGCTGTGACAAATTAGTTGTAACAACCTCCTGTCTATCTCCGTATGATGTAGGGGACCCGAAGCTAAGTTATTCAGAACAGGTAGTGAGTGGTTCGAGATCGAGATCCGTTCGTCAATGGGCAATTTGTAAATGTTACTTTCAATACATTTGAAATCAGGTCAACCGTTAAATTTAATCTATTATTCAAAGGTAAGGCAAAGTTATCTCTTAATTGTAAAAAGTTCTGTATATTTGGAAGTATGGAGTTGATAGATTCACGAACCAGCTATTCCTTTGTGAGGTAAATGAAGGAGAAGGAATCAATGGAAGAAAGGGCTGAGGATCAATCTCTTTTAAATTAAAATATCTCTCTAAACTAAAATATATTTAAATTTGAAAATTAGTTGAGGATTGCAAGACAAAAAAGAAGTTATTATATAAGCAATATTTTAATTAGGAAATAGTGTATGTTTTAACATAATACATTTTTACACGCTATTTACAATGTAACATATGTAAATAATATACAATAAAATACCTGCATCCAGAAACATTTAATTCTAAGCAAAAAATATCCAAATAGAACAAATGAATGAAGGTCATTATAATTATGAATAAAACCGCACCATTTTTCTACATTTTTCTTGTTAAATTTTCACTTTTTGCTTGCTCGATCTCTAAAATTCTCGATCAGTTCATTTTCCATTCAACGTGTGGTCTCTCTGTGAATCACCGAAGTTTCTTACTATGTCAAGACTGTTTCTAATGCCGGTGCAATTAGGCTGTTTACTTTGCGAAAAAGGCACGGTAAACTTGCGACGATTTTTCAGGAATCACGCGAGGACTCCAATCAAGTCGAAGAGTCCCAATGGACACTGCGGTTGGTACTTGGAGCAGTTTCCATTGCGGCCGACCAGCTCGGCCTCAATAACATCTCGCGGCAATCCCTCGTATCTCGAAGTACTCGGACTGAAAGCAGAGAATTCTCTAATATAATTAAATCGCAGCGACTTATTGTCTTTCAGCACTTACAGTAACTTTTTAGAAATAGTAAACATTAATTAGCAATTATTAATAACGAATAGAATAAAAGATAGTATATTTTTTAAAATTATTTTAAGAGGATTTCTCAAAATTTCAATAAGATATAATAATTAAAATATATTATCTTCTAATGGAGAAGATTTAAAAACTGCTTTTTGAGAAGAATGGGAGTCTATTTCACCAACTATCACATACGAAACCTAATACAATCAATTCATTAAAGATTATGAGCTGTGATTAATGCCAATGATTTTTCTATAAAACATTGAATTAATATATTATTTAAATTAAAAAGAAATATACAAATACTTTTTGTTTGAAATAATATATAATTTTTTATGTTAGAAATATTTAAGATATATTTGGATTATTATATTTCTTTATTTATAATAATTTTAAGAAACATACCATATGTTGTATTCATTATTAATATATTAATATAATAAATTGCTATAATTAAGGTTTGTTGTCTACAAATAAGGCTTTTGTTTACAAAAATCTCTATTTTTTTTATACTCATTCATATAGTAATCTTTTTTACATACATATAAGATTTACAGCTTTAAAACAACCCATATAGGATCGCCAACAGTTACAACGGAACCAACGCTTAGCCAACGCTATGACAGTCAACTGACGGTCAAGATTCTATCAACCTATACTGGACCATCACTGCCAAATGATTGGCTGTTAAATGACGGCCAAGGTTCTATCAACCAGTACTGGACCATCACTAGCAAATAACTAGCTGTCAAATGATGGACAAAGTTTTGTCAGCCAGTACTAAGCCATTACTGGCAAATGATTGACTAAAATGACTGGGCCGATACCATCTGTCAGTACTGGGTCAGTAATTTGTTAATATTACGCCAGTACCTGAACTGTGGCAATCAATAATGGCCCAGTACTGGGCTAATTGTAAAACTCTATATGAGAAGGGACTTTTTTTCATTTTCAAAGGAGATACAAAGATTTTAAAAAAGATAAGAAGAAGTAATGAACATTTATTACCTTTTCGCAATGTCGCGTGCCCTGGCAATTAAACACTTACGAAGATTTTAGAGAATCTCGTCTGAGAACTTCTCTAAAAACGCTTTTATCTTGATTCTACCGAAAATCACGACGCTATATCGTTATAATTATCTTTTTCAGCGTTTGGGGAATTTAGTCAAAAACTTCCATCAGGAATGTACACGTCCGATAACGCATTCTCGTATATTCGAGAATAATGACCTGAAGGAAAACCGTATCTATGGGTTTCTTTCGTAATCGAACGACCTTTATTCATCCGTCCTCTCTTGGAGTTTTTCGCTTGGGAAGCATTGTAAGCCTCTATGGTAAAAACAACTCCCTCATCTTGCATAGCAATCGTCATTTTGAGAAAAACCGATTTCACCGGCCCAATTTTTATATCGTCTTTTGTTACAGCGATGCGATCGGTTTATTGGAGTTTTATTTCGACCTCTCGTCCTTTTTTTTCTCCTCCCACCCTTCCTTTTATGCGAGTTCCCTTTCTCGATGAGAGACGATAAATCTTGAATATCCTGCGTGCTGGAAAACGAACCGAATGAAAAATATTTCCCTTCACGATAATGTTTCGCGAGTTTTTTTCCGAGTTTGCAAGAGTGAAGTTGGATCCCAGGATACGTTCTGAAATATCCGATAGGTGGTATCGCTTCGTGCTTTCCGACCTCAGGTCGCTGGAGTGTCGGGCGTTTCGAAAAGTTTATTACTGGTTTTATTAAAATTTAAGAACGCTGCGCATAACTTCGCGACTTCGTTATCTCGTACAGACCGAATGAAGTTATTCGACATTTCTTACCGAAGAAAATAATGAAAAAGTGCAGTATATACATACAAGTGTTTGCCAAATCTTCCCTCCAAACTGCAACGCAGAAATTGTAATATTAAACGAACGACAGGAAGTGTCTATCATTATTGTATTGAGATATTATAGATGACTATTTCTCTCGCCGTTGTTCATTTCATCGTATCTCTATCTTCTCTGGTTTCTCGTGACTTGTAGCGATCGGCGATTCGCCAAGAAAAATCTTTCCCAAAGCGGCAGTTCACGGAAAGAGACACGGAATTCCCTTGTAATTTCGCGTTTCTTCTGAGAGTCGAAAGGAGATGAGGACGCATCCGAGCCGGGTGTAATAATGTATCAACGTTACCAAGCAACCTGGCGCTAACAACGAAGATATGAAACCAGCACTCTTTGTGTTCCTTTTTTTTCTCTTTGCTGCTCTTGCGTGGATGAGCGAGGAACCGCGCATTGTCGTTATCATCGCCGCAACGCGACGATGCGAGGAGTTGCGTATTTTGTGTCGGGATACAAAAATCTTAAAGAGACGACCGTACCGTTCTCGTCGTTTGTGTACCTTGCACGCTGCATCTTCCGCCCCAGATCCGAGAAGGGTCGTTAGCAGAACTCGCTCTAATGGCTAGACGAGAAGACTAATATCCGAGGGATCGAAGAGTCTCGTCTCAACCGTGGATTCAACCGTGAAATGTTTTATATGAGAAATAGTTAAATGCTCTTCGGGGAGTTTCAGCTTATTTACATGCGTTCGTCCGCAATGAGACGTATGCTTATTTGCATAATAGAACAAAAGCATATAGAACGCGAAAGTAGAAGGAAAAACTCGCGGCGCATCCACATTTCGCAGACGCAATATGCGATTCATTCAACGTATTATGCAATTGTGCGCCTCACGTAGGTGACTTTTCATTCTTTCGTCGCGGCGTCGACAACGACGATGTCATTTTCACCCCGAGGGTGTGTCCTTTATTCATACGTTCCTGGTTGGAGAATATTATTCTCTCGCGAGAGAAGGGTCGAAACCGAGCCGAGCGGATGCGCGTCTCTATATAGGGTGGGCGAAGGTTGCTGCGAGGAAGCCAAATTTGCTTTTCCATGGCGCGTATCTACTCCAATTTGCAACGCCTTGAAACGCCGCATTTTCAGAAGAAAAAAGAAGCCCGCGAGTGACGCCCCTATTCCTTCTTTCTTTCCCTTGTTTCTTTTTGCAGAAAGAGAGAAAATCATGTCTGCAGTCTTTTTGGCCCGTTTTACACGTTGGTTGACCGAACAATACCGTGTAATGCACGGGGGAAGAAATTCAACCGTGAGTTTATAACCCAGGTTTTATCTCTGAAAATGAAGTTGTGTACAAATTGTTTTATACGAGTTCTTCCTGAATAATAAAGGTATTGAGACTCGTTATTAAAAGAATTATTCCTTTGCTATTATTACCGAGCTATGAGAAACATAACTTATTTTGAAAAACGTAGCTATAATAATGTTAATTTTAAACGTCATATTACAGGAAATTACTGCTAGGGCTATAAGGCATGTATTTGAAATACTTTTATTTAGAAGACAACATTTGTAAGATAATTGTATTTTGTATTTCAAATACTAAGATTGATTGCAATCTTATTATTTGAATTACAAAATACAAAAAATTTTCAATTTTAAAAACTTTCGATTTTAAATATAAAATACGTAATACTTTCATGTGCTTCACTGAAGTACAAAATATAAAATACATTTGTATTGCAAATACTTTTAAATAAAAGTATTTCAAACATACATGTCCAGTCTTGACCATTGCGGTATAGCACACTCTGCAATTCGATTGCTTAATAACTTTCATAAAAGTGAACATATAATATATTATAAATTTTTTTTCTATCGAAACGTCAAAAATTAAGGAACATACACCGTTAAATTCATAATGTCAAATTATACTCATTGTCAGTTTGAGTTATTTTTAATCATTTCTCTAAGTCGCTGTTGCTCCAATATGTCGTTAATTTAACTAAAACAATGGAGTTTAATGATTTAACTCAAGAAACTTGTTAAAATTGACTTAAATTTAGTTTATTATTTACTAAATGCATACGTTTTAATATAATAAAATGATGTTTACTTTGAAACTAACTACAGAAATGGATTGATTCACATTTTGGCAAATGGAAGTTAAAAATAACAAAATGTTATTTAACTCAAGGAATTGAGTTACCATTATTCCTTTGATATTTAACAGTGTAATGATACCAAGCAAAAGTATCTTTATTAATAAAAAAGTTATAAGTAATAGAAAAAGCATTGGAAAAGTATTGGAAAAAGAACACCAGATATGAGCTATATCGAAAAAACATTTAAGAATTAAAGAACAGCCGAGAATTTATGACATTTGTAATTTTTCCGAACATAGAAGTTCATCAAAGTTTCTCTCTACATTCTTTTAGTAATAAAAAGTAATTTGCTTCACTCTGGCGTCACTATCTCTTTAAAGTGAAATAATTTGCAACTAAAAACAGAGTTATACGAAAAGGAATAATTTTAACTGTGTATTATTTTAACCAAATAATGATATCATGAATTTATCATAAAGTTTCGTCATCGTTAATGTCAACGGTAGAACTTACGTGAAGATCACGTGCATGATGTCACCGATCAACCCATTGTGTTGGAGCGGAAATTCCGAGGTCTCGCAGATTGCTCTCAGTAGACACTCCCTTCCGGAATACCCGGAGCTAAAGCAAAAAGAGAAAAATCAAGAAAAGCTCACGGCGAGACGCGGAATTCGAAGGAGGTTGAGGAGGAATGAGAGAAGATCGCACGGCCTCAGCAACAATTGTTTACTTTACGCCTTACGAGTCTCTAAATACTGGAAGATTCATATGCATACGTAATTGGTAGGTACCTATGTATATTCGCGTCGAGCAATGTAACGTAATTCCCAGACGCCCTAAATGCTCGTAAAATGAAACTGGGAGTGCATTCGCCTCGAATCTCTTCGTTGATTTCCTTTCTATTCGCCACAGCGTCTGGGAAATTTCTCTCGCTCGCAAGATCAACACTGATTCAATAATTGATCGATTTTAATTGCGTCATGCATGCCAATTGAAATTGGGTGATTTACGACATACTAATTCAATGATAGCTGGTTCAACGATAACTTTTATCTACTTTGTCGAAATCCATCAGTATCAGACGTCAAACATTAGGAGAGGAAGTATCAAATGCGATTACAGCCCGAAATGAGGAAATAGAAGTAGATAAAGTTTCATAATAACCAAGAATGTATAAAGAAAATTTGTTTTTATTTGTAGTTCACGATTGCGTTAGTCTTCAATTTTATTATTATATAATGACAATATCAGTAGATTATTTAACAAACGGTTGGATTGGATATTTTTAGTTCGAGAAAGCACGAATATCTTACGATGTCATTATAGATCAGCTATTCCAGAATTTTAGATTAGATAGAACATGAATACCGTAAGGCAGTATGGAAGGATTATCCACGAAAGGAAGATCCACGTGCTCATAATGCGCAATTGTTTGTTTGCAAACTTGCCTCTCAAATTTACTTTCCAGAACTCGATAGATTGTGGCTCTCTCGATATTCCTCTTCCTCCTTTTTAGTCCCGTCCAGGGCTCGAGAGATGTTATGTTTGGCGGTAAAACGTAGTTAGCCTCGAAGAAGTAGGATAGTGAGATCGAACTTAGAGGATGCTCGAGTGGCACCGCGAGAGCGACGAAGATCTAGGAAATGTTAATCGCATAATCGCCGCACGATTTCATTTCTACAGTGGACTATTCTCGGAATTGGGAAAGTTTTAAGAGAACAAGATCTTTTTTTCTCTCTCTCTCTCTCTCTCTCTCTCTCTCTCTCTCTCTTTCAAAATTAAGATTCTGATAAAGGAAACTTATAATAATAAAATATGAGAAGAAAGAAAGAAATATACATATATATATATATATATAATAATTTTTTCATTAATATATTCAAAAGATAATTAAAATATGTTCAAATATATTAAGCAAATGTATTAATATAACAGCAAAAATATATATTAAGTAACAACAATCACATGTAATTATATCGTCACTAATCCAATTTATTGATACGAAATGTTAGTAACAATATTTTTACATATTTATACTCACACCCATATTACTGTTTTTTGGAAATGTCAAACTTCTAATAGGCCGATGCAAAATTTTTGCAATATCCGAGTTTGCCACCTTTGTTAGCACAAGATGCGACGTCAGTACAAAATTAAATACAAAAAATCTGCAATTCAGTAAATTCGTTTTGGATTAGACATAATGAAAATTCGTTTTAGTAAAGAGTAAGTAAATTATTATAAACATATATTATTACTTTCCCTCTTTCTTTTCTCTTCTGCCTATTTTACTTTGTGATATTTTTTTCTTGTTCGAAAGTTAATAAATTAGATTAGTATTAGTCAAGTTTATTAATTTAATACTTATCCGATAATAAATTGAAAAAAAATTTGAATTGTCAAGCTTACAAGATTTTCTCTGACTGGCAACACATGGCAGGTGAGATTCCTTTCAATCTGTAGACTTCAGAACTTTGCACTGATTTCAGTCACCGAAAAATCACTTTGTGACATTATGCAGAAACGGTCTGCAAGCGTCACTCTGTATACAGTTATGACTGATGAACGTTAATCTGGCGTGCATACATAAACCTTTTTGTATTAATTAGTTTGCCATCTCTTCGAACGGGATATTGATATGTTGAAAATTTTACGATTATTATGGCAATTTGAAATTATCATAAATGTTAAAATGAAGAAAACATTTTTCATGACAATTAATGACGTCGCATGAATTTTTTAATGAAATGAATCATCGAGTGATGAATGTAATTCTTTCAAGAACTCTGGCAATTTTTATTTCCTGAAATCCGAAAGTACATAATATTTAAATAAAAAAAGCGGTACTAATGAAAATAATGTGATAACAATGATAAAACATCATAATATACAGTATTTTTTTATTTAATACAAGTAAAATGCAATGTGAGCCATCGCGGATATTGATGCGTACATGAAATATGCAATAGATACGATTGTGTGATATACAATTGTATATATCGAATTATGAATATTTAATGTGCACACCAATATCCACGAGACTCACATAGGCATTTTATTTGTATTAGAATAGATTTGTTCTTGAAGCTAAAGAGAGAGATACTAATATTGCTATTTTATTTTATTTCAATTTTTCATTTAAGATATCATATAATAGTGAAACAAAATCAATTCAATTATTTGGATTTTCTAGATAAATAATATTGGACATTTCAAATTGGAATAAATCTTCCATACGTAATTAATAATTCTCCACTCTCAGACTTCATTTCGGTTTGTTTGAAATGCTGATTAAGGTTTTTAATATCCTTCTGCAGATATCGCGTTGTATAAATTTTATTTTATATATTATAGATAAATAGTAGATTAGAGATGAAATAAATTGCAAAATTGTAAAGCAACAATATTTTAATATCGTATAAAATTCTTTTTGTTTATAATACTTATATTATTCTTTAGTACCATGCATTTAACTTTTTCTATAATGAGATATTCAAACGTATAAAAAGAACAATTATTAAAATGTTACCTGATTTCCAATGAACACATTTTCAAAAACAGATAGATTTTAGATGTTACATTCTCTTTTAAGAACAATTAAATTAAGATTATTTTTACAAAATTGCTTTTACCTAGAAAGATAAATCCATACAACTTACATATTTACAGACAGAATACATAGATATTGATTTCTCTCTTTTAATTATATTTAAATTCATTTACATATAATATTCCACAAATTCTTAAATTGTTCTGATAATGAATGATGAAGAATTCCACAAATTCTCAAATTGGCTTGTGATCTTTCTTTCATAAAATTTTTGTAATTATAATTATTGAGCATTAGATTAATTTTATATATTTATTAAAAAACGTCTGTTATATATGTTAATTTAGGCTTACTTTATTTTTATTTTTATTTGTATCTTTGTATTAGTATGTAATATCACATATGTACATTAAATTAGTTATTTTGGTTCGTAGCCCTTCTTAACATATTCTCATTTTTTATTACTTGAGTCATAATCATGTATTTTTATATACTTATTTAAATTGTTCTGATCTGATAATGGACGCTCCTGCAATTAAATTTATACAGAAAGAATCATGTTTTTCGAATACGCGATACAGAGACAGACAGATTATCAGCGTTATCGTGTCCCTTGTAAATATTGGCGTAACGTTTCTCGACGCGTTTCAACGTGAAGAAATGGTTTGCGAGCTCTCGCACCAAGCGTTTAATTAAATTTGCATAGGTACTCTTCGGACTTCGGGATTTGTTTGCTCCGGGAGGGTGGGTTATCGTCCATAATTCTCAGTTACGTGCTGAAACGCAATTATGATCTCTCTCTTTTACAATGCGTCAGACTTTGCGGCAACGGGGCAGTCGCGATTAAAGAAATCCACAAGAGCGACTGCGCATTACGCGAAGGTAGAGTGCAGCTGCGGCTTAAACCGCGCGTATATAAATGAGCCTATCCTCCCTATGGCGTGGCCATAGCGGATTAGCGTTCGCTTTTAATTTCCCTTCGCATTTTATCTCGGTTTTTATTTTCCTGTTTTCCTCTTGCGCGTTGTGTCGCATCGCGTCATGTCGTGCGCGTCGAAGAACGGTTTCCGCACTCGTGGAACGAAAGCGCGGTACAAGAACCACGAACGCATAGCGAACGGGACGATAATGAAGCTTCATAATACGCGGCGAATCATGGGAAAGCGGCGCGGGTAATTAAACGCGAAGCGGACGCGGCTTAATGAAACGCAACGAATGCGAAGTCACGTATTTTTAAGAGATGCGATTAACGTTCGTGTCTCCGCGCCGCGAAGATAAGCGTCGTGAGGATATAAAGCGGTGGATTTATGCAAGAGCGAGAGCTAATTGATGTAAACGTATTAGTTACCCGCCGCGAGTCGCTGTAAAGATGTAAAGAGGATTGTCTAAAGCCCATTCTACAATTGCATAAACGTAGTAAGTTATTGTAATTGTAAGAATTGACTAATCACAGCCGAATATGCATTTATATCTCTGAGGAAAATATTTGACTGTAATTGATCAATTCTTACAACTACAACCACTTGCAACTGCGTTTACGTAATTGTATTGGGTTTAAGGGAATGCTGGAGTCGTCTGTAATACCAAAGAAACGCACATTTCATACTTTTTCATTTTCTTCGTTTTTCTTATATAGGTAGAATAAAAAGTCCTCCAAAATAAGAGAAAAAATGCAAATAGTTGTGGGAAACAACAAACCTGTGTGGAAAACAAAAAAATATGTAAATTACAGTTTCCTGGTTCACATGTAGGTTATTTCTTCAGACGATATAAATGATTCCAAGTAGATATCCAAACAAAAAGTACTTTCCCATATTTGAATAATGTATAAGAATATAATATGAGACTTTAAAATTCTAATTTTAAAGCTTACAAGAGAAGTAAATGGAAAAGTACGATCTGAATGTAAACATAACTTATCATTTATGCGATATATATAGGATATAGCAAAGTAAGAAACGTACGTAATATTTTATTTAATGTATGTAATGTTTTTTTAAATATATGTAATGTTTTATTTTGTAATTAAGAATCTGTTTCATCGACATCGACCGAATTTAGCCATCGTTCTGCAGCATCCCCAAACGTATTCCATCGTTTTCATCGATCCTTTTACACCGCGTTTTATTATTATCCTATCTTTTTAAAATAAAACGCTTGATTGACTAACGAATGAGAATGTAACTTAATATCTACAAATATTAATTAAGGATATCTGATGAATATATCTTGAAGTATTTTTAGATGGCGGGTGTTGATCCGTACGTAACTAAAGGATAAACGGAATATTAATGGGGATGTGATTAATTCCTGTCCTCTCTCCGAGATGATTAATTATCCGTTTATTAGATACTCATAGAAGAGATAGGATGATTCTAGGATGTCGTTAGATACACGCAGGCTTCCTTCGTTTGAAATATATTTACGAAAGATATTATCCAATAGCCAACCTTTTACGACACCCAAAGGTGTTACTTTAAAAAAAATTAATAAAATAAAGCGGCCTTAATTCTTTGCGAAGGGATTTCTCGTGATGTAATTTTGCAAAAATGCGCAGAAAAATTCTGCTATAAACAACTTTTAGTGTCACAAAAATTTTATGGCAGCTTACTGCTGTATTTCTAATGTTTTGATAAAAATAAGGATTGCTGGATAATACATCATAAAACAATAACGTAAAATATAAAAAATTAACAATGCAATATATAATTATTTAATATATATTAGTATTATGTATAAATCTAAATTATAATACGTTTATTGCAAGTGAGTATTTTTGAACAGAACACTAATGATGAACAGAACACCAGCTTGCGCTATTAAAATGCCAATTGCATCGACGAACGAATTCACTTAAATCAACTTAAACTCTGCATAATGCAAGTAACGAATGTATTCAATTTATGAGAAACTCGCAACTGCGTTTGTGAATAGCAAAGAAAAATTAAGACAAGAATCTTCCGTCCTCGAGGCACATTCCTTGGAAATTGTTGGTAAAATAAATACTAAAAAATTTGCATGCGGGCTATCCGGCTTAAGATCTTCGTTCGCGTTTTACCATTATTTCTTTTTATTGGTGACTGCTTTCATCAATACGAGATATGACGAGACTGACAGGCAGAGATTGGAGCTATTGGAATTTTTCTATCAGATGACTCGGTCTGTGTGTTGCTTCCACCAGTTGAGAGCAGTTCGAGAAGAAACATTCAATGCATTTTCATTTTTCATTATGCACTTATTGCGAAGTGCGTTGATGTAAAAACTAATTTTATCTTCAAGGATAATTGTTTAATCTTTAGAGAGCGGGGACCTATTTCTTAAATTTATAATTTAATTTTCTTTGAATAAGATTTGTTATAATTCATTGTTTAATTTATTGTATCTTTGTTTCAAAATATGACACTATTTCAGCGCCACTATAGCGACTTCCCGTTCTGTAAAGATTAAACATTGAACCACTTGTATTCAGATTATTGTCGACAGATCTGTCGTTTGAATTGATTCAAATTTCTTTTTTGTAGTTTCAGTTATTTCTTCAAAGCTCGTGTTTTTACTATGAAATTGTTCGCACCGATAGGGTAAATTTACCTTGGCACTATTTTTCGACAGCGAGCAACGAACTATTTGGGTTACGTGACCGAACTGGCCTAACAATGTACGCATAACGTCTCTTCTTTTGCTCCGTCCAATCCCGCAATGAATAAAAATAATCAATTTTCAAGAGGTAATGTTGGTAGGAAAAGATTTCAAAGACGGAATCTCGCGCGCTAAAACGTACAGTTTTTGTTTCGAAAACGAACATGAATTCTGAAAGTTTCATACAAATCGTGAAAAGCTTATACGTTGACCTGAACCTGTATCTGAACCAGAAGGTTCATTATTTATGGAAACCTGCGCTATTTCACGGAGCGAACAGCTGCTATAATGCACCGTACGGTTTTCGAGTTTACGGTATTTCATTTAAGCGACACGTCCACTTTTTTTCGTCCTTTTGCTAACGGCAGTCGTACGTTTCCAATGGCGACGACCGAATGGCTGTTTACCGCAGATGTTTCCCCCTTTTTACGATGACTCTACCAACGTCCAGAATTTTTCCACATTTTCTCCCGAGAGGAACCTTCCGTTAGTTCATGGTGCGGTTTTTTCAGATGGAAGTCAATAGAAACACGTACTGTTGCTCCGCTAATGCCGATGGGTCACTAGACGCGACATTGTTTTGTCATATGACTCTTTTTACGACTCCTATAACATTAACGCACGTCGAAGAGAGTATCATTGTCGCCATTCTGTGGCTCTCTTTTTACGAACGAAGAGGTTTGGCTGATGTTGAGTTGATAGAGAAAGATTTGAAGGGAAGAATAATCAACGCTTAATAAATCTTATTTATAAAGCGTAAGATTAATTTATTATAGTATTATATAATTACACAGTTCAATATATAACAAGATTTAACCTCCGCCAGTCAAGTTAGACTTCGAAGGCAAAATTGATATTTTGATTGTAA